GCGACCCTAAGGCGACCCTATTACAAGGTCTTCTTCACAAGATTTGTTCACAAGAGGTTTGCCACTGCTTTCTCCTGAGCCTGATGGGAAGTGACTTGCCCAAGGTCACCCAATGGGTTTCACGGCTGAGCAGGAATCGAACCCTGGTCTCCAGAGTTGTAGTCCAACATTCAATACTACACATCACGCCATGAGGAACAAACTATTTATCATAGTGTAACAGATTACATTCTGTTGACAGTGGCAAAAGCAGAACTGCACGATGCACAGTGTGATTGTGCACTGCAATTGTTCATTACACACCACTCAGTGATGGGCCTGTGTTGTGCAATGTTGCAATTCTGTATGCGGGTTGTGGCTTGCTGGCATAGGGTCTCCACATGAAGGTATTTATGCTATGCTGAGAGGATGTTGGACTGCAGCTTCTGTGGCGCTCTACACATTAACAGCATCTAAACTGGGAAATGCATGTCTGTTATTAGCATACAAAGAGATCCATGGTGTGACATGCTGACACACTAACCCAATATGCACAGCGGCTGAAGCAATATGCCAAATACAGGGACCACTACAAAGGAACACCAAGCAAGCAAGATTTTTTTATTTACATGACAGGCATCACATTTAAATCAGGCCTGGGAAGAAGAGTTTCACAGGTCTGTGTAATGCTAGGTTACCTTTCATCATCATCATTATTTATTTAAATAGCAACATCCACGTACACCTGTTTTACAAATAGTTACATAATAAAACATTTATTTCAAGCAGCATAACAAATCCTGGGCTGAAAGTGAGTTTAATTTTTCACAAAAACAACCGGCAGTCCTATGTGCAAAGAGTTAGTTAACTACCTTCATCAGAAAGAAGTCAACTCTGATCAGCAGTGACACCCAAAGGCAGCATACTCCAGTCATATTCAGGTTATATTTATGATTTAGTGTGTGGCATTTTCTGTCACTTGTAAGAGCACTTGGTAACTAAGGAGATATGTGGTGTATGAAGTCAAAACACCAATAAATATATTTAACTAAACTGCCCAGAAAAATAAGAAATGAATCTATAGCCAAAACAGGGACCAACAATATGTGTCTCTCCACATGCTATGGGGCTGCAGTCCCCATCATCCCTGCTCTAAGGGTTTCCTCTCCAGTCCTTGACAGACAACTAGTACAGGAGCTACCTGGTTCTTCTAAACTGATTCCTCTTTGCTCCAGGTATTCCAGTCAGCACTCAAATTCACTGTTTATCACCAAAGGAAGACTACCGTATTTTTCGGCATATAAGACGCATTTTTTCTTCCCCAA